AAGAGACTCAAAGCATGAACTCTATACACGTAACAAGATCTAAGAAAGTTAGAAACCAATACAAAATTATCCGTAACAGCACTGATTGATTGATATTTTTTAGGTCTAAAACCTATAGACTTACGCGAGGGACACAAAAGGCTGTTTGCCGCCTGGATAACTAATCAAGGATATTTTATTTCCTAAAGTAGGAACTGAAATATTCTCTAAGATATACGCTCTTACAAGTATGAATTCAATGCTTCTGTTAGTGCATACATATCAAGAGAGATACTTTTTACGCCTGTAATTACAAAGTGTAACAATGTTACAATAAGACGAGGTAATTACATTATATGTCAACAGCTTGTTACACAGGAGCTGGAAGTATTTGCCCAGGTGGGCCAATTTTGAGTGTAGGCCATTTACCTGATTGTATTCAACGAGATGGAGTTCTGGGAAGGAGAGAGAGGAGACTCTAAGAGAGGATGGTCCGGTGGCCATGGCCGTGGCCAGGAAGAGCACCGCGGCCAGGCAGAACGGGAAGGTGAACACTGGAAGTTTGTTCTGCGGATTAAGGATTAAGAGAGTCAAATTCACTCGTCCAGCAGTCGTAACTACAAGTTGACAAGATTTGTCCTCCATCGGTCAGCTGCAGTCTAGCATTAGGCCCAACCTCAGACATATTTCATAATCTACTTGCGCATATAGAATCACCCTGTTATCTACCCACACATACAGACCCTCTCTATCTACACATACTGACACTCTCTATCTACCCACACATATAGCATACCTATCATCTACCCCTCTCCCCCACACACAGCATATCTATCATCTACTCCCCCCACAGAGCATACCTATCATCTACCCACAAACAAAAACACTATCATCTAACCACACACACAAGTCCACACTTCATCAACTTAGACATGTAGGCACACCAGTAGGAGACACTTACAGCAGCATAGACTGGTCCGAGAGCTGACTGCAGGAAGGTGGCGAACACAGCGTTGATAGCAGCAACGAGAATCACTCTGGGTGTAGGAGCCATGAAAAAGGCGATGGAGCCCGCTGACAGAAAACCATTGTAGCCCCAGATGCCATGGTAGACCAACGTGTACGGCGCAGACGACACCAGCAGACCTACAGGGAAGTGGAAAAGAAGTATGTGAGTACAAGAGTGGGTGGAACAGGTTAGTGCTGGAGTTACAAGAATACACAGAAAGTACACTAAAGAGGTGAAGTGACACATAACTCCGAAGCAAGAGTTGGTTTTTCTTTAGATTTTGTTTCGAGAGGCGAGTTTACTGGACGGCTTCATTCATGCTCTAAGTGAAGAGTTGTTTTCTGAACACCATCACTCATTCTGCCTTTACAAATTACAGTATCCACATCTGAAGGCAGCACCGGTGACGTTTACAAATAAGAGAGTTTAATGTGTTTTACGGAGTTATCAACACTAGAAAAAACTGCTAAATAAACATACAAGTGTAAAAACCAAAATTATTTTTTTAAGAGCCGTTGACTCATGCTCAGTATAGTGACTGGATCTGGCTACTTAAACTTGATATTAGTGAATGGATTTTCCAAGTCATCCTAGTTAAGGTGATTAGGACAACTCCACGATTACATTATAGGCCAGGCTGGTCACCGTAGATATAGTTAATTCCAGATGTCGTTTGGATCTGTCAAGGTGGCCAGGACACAGTGATATTCACCTGTCAGTGTACCGAGAGTGACCTCAGTTATGATACTGACCTGTCAGTGTACCGAGAGTGGCACCCATATAGCTGACGAGGGTAAGGATGGGAGAGTAGATAAAGAGGCCCAGGTAGACGAGGCAGGAACAAGCTACGTCCTCCACAGCCCACACGTGTCCACCAGAGAGCAACGTGCCCATAAACACCTGGTGCAACCAGAACTTCTTAGTAACACAGCATACCTTCACCCACAGCCACAACATAACTTCATCCACAGCCACAGCATACTTTCACCCACATCCAGAGCATAACTTCACCGACAGCCACAGCACACCCTCACCCACATCTACAGCATACCTTCACCCACAGCCACAACATACCTTCACCCAACAGCCACAACATACCTTCACCCACAACTACAGCATGCCTTCACCCACAGCCACAGCATATCTTCACCCACAGCCACAACATACCTTTCCCACCCACAGCCACAAATACTTCACCCACACCACAACATACCTTCACCCACAGCCACAACATACCTTCACCCACAGCCACAACATACCTTCACCCACAGCCACAACATACCTTCACCCACAGCCACAACATACCTTAAACCCACAGCCACAAATACCTTAAACCCACAGCCACAACAATACCTTCACCCCCCAGCCACAACATACCTTCACACCACAGCCAAAACATACCTTCACCCACAGCCACAACACCTTCCCCCACAGCCACAACATACCTTCACCCACAGCCACAACATACCTTCCCCCCACAGCCACAGCATACCTTCACCCACAACTACAGCATGCCTTCACCCACAGCCACAGCATACCTTCACCCACAACTACAGCATGCCTTCACCCACAGCCACAGCATACCTTCACCCACAACTACAAGCATACCTTCACCCACACCACAACATCCCTTCACCCACAGCCACAACATCCCTTCACCCACAGCCACAGCATACCTTCACCACAACTACAGCATACCTTCACCCACAGCCCAACATACCTTCCCCCACACCCACAGCATACCTTTCACCCACAACTACAGCATGCCTTTTCCACCCACAGCCACAGCATACCTTCACCCACAACTACAGCATCCCTTTCACCCACAGCCACAGCATACCTTCACCCACAACTACAGCATACCTTCACCCACAGCCACAACATACCTTCACCCACAGCCACAGCATACCTTCACCCAAAAACTACAGCATGCCTTCACCACAGCCACGCATACCTTCACCCACAACTACAGCATACCTTCACCCACAGCCCACAACATACCTTTTCACCCACAGCCACAGCATACCTTCACCCACAGCCAAACATACCTTCACCCACAGCCACAACATACCTCACCCACAGCCACAACATACCTTCACCCACAGCCACAACATACCTTCAACCCCACAGCCACAACATCCCTTCACCCACAGCCACAACATCCCTTCACCCACAGCCAAAACATACCTTCACCCACAGCCACAACATACCTTCACCCACAGCCACAACATACCTTCACCCACAGCCACAACATCCCTTTCACCCACAGCCACAGCATACCTTCACCCACAACTACGGGCATGCCTTCACCCACAGCCACAGCATACCTTCACCCACAACTACGCATGCCTTCACCCACAGCCACAGCATACCTTCACCCACAACTACGTATACCTTCACCCACAGCCACAACATACCTTCACCCACAGCCACAGCAACCTTCACCCACAACTACAGCATACCTTCACCCACAGCCACAACATACCTTCACCCACAGCCACAGCATACCTTCACCCACAACTACAGCATACCTTCACCCACAGCCACAGCATACCTTCACCCACAGCCACAACATCCTTCACCCACAGCCACAGCATACCTTCACCCACAACTACAGCATCCCTTCACCCACAGCCACAGCATCCCTTTCCCACCCACAACTACAGCATACCTTCACCCACAGCCACAACATCCCTTCACCCACACCACAGCATACCTTCACCCACAACACAGCATACCTTCACCCACAGCCACAACATACCTTCACCCACAGCCACAGCATACCTTCACCCACAGCCAAAACATACCTTCACCCCAGCCACAAGCATACCTTCACCCAAAACTACAGCATACCTTCACCCACAGCCACAACATACCTTCACCCACAGCCACAGAAACCCTTTTCACCCACAGCCACAACATACCTTCACCCACCCCACAGCATACCTCACCCCAGCCACAGCATACCTTCACCCACAGCCACAACATACCTTCACCACAGCCACAGCATACCTTCACCCACAGCCACAGCATCCCTTTCCCACCCACAGCCACAACATACCTTCACCCACACCCCACAATATAACCTTCACCCACAGCCCACAGCATACCTTCACACACAGCCACAGCATACCTTCACCCACAGCCACAGCATACCTTCACCCACAGCCAGCATACCTTCATCCACAGCCACAGCATATCTTCACCAACAGCCACAGCATACCTTCACCCACAGCCACAGCATATCTTCACCAACAGCCACAGCATACCTTCACCCACAGCCACAGCATACATTCACCCACAGCCACATCATACCTTCTCCCACGGCCACAGCATAACTTCACACACAGCAACAGCATGTCTTCATCCACAGCCACAGCATACCGTCACCCACAGCCACAGCATACCTTCACCCACGGCCACAGCATAACCTCACACACAGCAACAGCATGTCTTCATCCACAGCCACAGCATACCTTCACCCAGAGCCACAGCATACATTCACCCACAGCCACAGCATACCTTCACCCACGGCCACAGCATAACTTCACACACAGCAACAGCATGTCTTCATCCACAGCCACAGCATACCGTCACCCACAGCCACAGCATATCTTCACACACAGCCACAGCATACCTTAACCCACAGCCACAGCATACCTTCACACACAGCCACAGCATACCTTCACCCACAGCCACAGCATACCTTCACGCAGCCACAGCATACCTTCACACACAGCCACAGCATACCTTCACCCAGAGCCACAGCATACCTTCATCCACAACCACAGCATACCTTCACACACAGCCACAGCATACCTTCACCCACAGCCACAGCATACCTTCACACACCCACAGCATCCCTTTTCACACAACAGCCACAGCATACCTTCACACACAGCCACAGCATACCTTCACACACAGCCACAGCATACCTTCACACAGCCACAGTATACCTTCACACACAGCCACAGCATACCTTCACACAGCCACAGTATACCTTCACACACAGCCACAGCATACCTTCACCCACAGCCACAGCATACCTTCACCCACAGCCACAGCATACCTTCACCAACAGCCACAGCATACCTTCACACAGCCACAGCATACCTTCACCCACAGCCACAGCATACCTTCACCAACAGCCACAGCATACCTTCACACAGCCACAGCATGCCTTACCCACAGCCACAGCATACCTTCACCCACAGCCAAAAGCATACCTTCACCAACACCAACAGCATACCTTCACACAGCCACAGCATGCCTTCACCCACAGCCACAGCATACCTTCACCCACAGCCACAGCATACCTTCACCAACAGCCACAGCATACCTTCACACACAGCCACAGCATACCTTCATCCCACAGCCCAGCATACTTCACACACAGCCACAGCACATTTTCATCCACAGCCACAGCATACCTTCACACACAGCCACAGCATCCCTTTCACCCAGAGCCACAGCATACCTTCACACACAGCCACAGCATACCTTCACACACAGCCACAGCATAACCTTCGCACACAACCCACAGAATACCATCACACACAGGACCCCCAGCATACCCCACCCACAGCCCACAGCATACCTTCACACAGCCACAGAAAAACCTTCACACACAGCCACAGCATACCTTCACACACACCCAAACAGCCATACATCACACACAGCCACAGAAAACCTTCACCTACACAGCCACAGCATACCTTCACACAGCCACAGCATACCTTTCCCCACAGCCACAGCACACCTTCACACAGCCACAGCATACCTTTCACCCACAGCAACAGCATTCCTTCACTCACAGCCAAACAGCATACCTTCACACACACCCCAAAAGCAACCTTCCCCCACAGCCACAGCATACCTTCACCCACAGCCACAGCTTTACCTTCACCCACAGCCACAGCATACCTTCACACACAGCCACAGAATATCTTCATCCACAGCCACAGCATACCTTCACACACAGCCACAGCATACCTTCATCCACAGCCACAGCATACCTTCACACACAGCCACAGCATACCTTCACCCACAGCCACAGCATACCTTCACCCACAGCCACAGCATACCTTCACCCACAGCCACAGCATATCTTCACACACAGTCACAGCATGCCTTCACCCACAGCCACAGACTATCTTCATCCACAGCCACATCATACCTTCATCCACAGCCAAAGAATACCTTCCCCCACAGCCACAGCATACCTTCACCCACAGCCACAGCATACCTTCACCCACAGCCACAGCATACCTTCACACACAGCCACAGCATACCTTCACACACGGCCACAGCATAACTTCACACACAGCAACAGCATGTCTTCATCCACAGCCACAGCATGCCTTCACGCACAGCCACAGCATACCTTCACACACAGCCACAGCATACCTTCACCCACAGCCACAGCATACCTTCACACTGCCACAGCATACCTTCACCCACAGCCACAGCATACCTTCACACAGCCACAGCATACCTTCACCCACAGCAACAGCATACCTTCACTCACAGCCACAGCATACCTTCACACACAGCCACAGCATACCTTTCCCCCCACAGCCACAGCATACCTTCACCCACAGCCACAGCATACCTTCACCCACAGCCACAGCATACCTTCACACACAGCCACAGCATATCTTCATCCACAGCCACAGCATACCTTCACACACAGCCACAGCATACCTTCAGCCAGAGCCACAGCATACCTTCACACAGCCACAGCATACGTTCACACACAGCCACAGCATGCCTTCACACACAGCCACAACGTACCTTCACACACAGCCACAGCATACCTTCACCCACAGCCACGTCATACCTTCACACAGCCACAGCATACCTTCACACACAGCCACAGCGTACCTTCACACGCAGCCACAGCATACCTTCACACAGAGCCACAGCATCCCTTTTCACCCACACCACAGCATCCCTTTCACACACAGCCACAGCATACCTTAAACACACAGCCACCAGCATACCTTAACACAGCCACAGTATACCTTCACCCACAGCCACAGCATACCTTCACACACAGCCACAGCATACCTTCACACACAGCCACAGCATACCTTCACCCACAGCCACAGCATACCTTTACACACAGCCACAGCATACCTTCACACACAGCCACAGCATACTTTCACACAGCCACAGCATACCTTCACCCACAGCCACAGCATACCTTCACACACAGCCACAGCATACCTTCACACACAGCCACAGCATACCTTCACACACAGCCACAGCATACCTTCACACACAGCCACAGCATACCTTCACCTTCATACATTTCTTGGGTATTTTAAATCATTACCTATTTCATAAATTTTGGATATTTATGAAATAGGAAAATGATTTTAAAATACCCAAGAAATGTAATTGATAAATCTTTTAAAGTTGCTAGAAACACTTTTTATAATCCAAAAAGGGACAACCAGCCTTATTCAACTAAAAATATGTTGGTTCTCCCTTTCCATGAAAACTTGGTTGATATGCCTTCTCTTCTTAAGACTTTTAATATTAAAGTTGTATTCAAAAATCTTGATTTCAGCAAAAAAAATTTGATAAAGAATTCCCCCCAAAATGCTGATGGATGTGTCTATAAGATTCCTTGTAAAATTTGCGAAAAAAGTTTATTACGGTCAAACTGGTAAAAAACTCGAACATAAGATTAAAACATAAATATAGCATTAAACTGGACAAGATTCCAATGCTCTATTTTTTCATGTAAGAGATTTTAACCATCCAATTGATTTTCAAAAAGTTGAGAAAGTAGTATCAAGCAAGTCCATGGGCGACAGGAATATAATTGAATCTTGTTTCATAAAAAGCAGTTTTTGACAATAATATGAATATTTCCTTTGTTTATATAAATTAGATCCATTTATAATTAATAGAAATTTGGGGAAAAATTTAATAAACACCGGACAAAATAAATAATTTTTAAATTTTCTTGGTAGAATTAGCTTGGGTGAGTTGGTGCAAGGACCTATCCAAGTTGGGTCGCCGCGCGTCAGGGGTTTAACCGTTGTGGGATCTGATATGAGGTGCTGGCCGGACCCCTTAATAGCTTCCTTGGATGCTTTACTTTCATAGTTCCTTGATAATGTGAGTAGTCACGAAAGCGCTTGGAAATTTTTCTATTCTTTCAGAGTGGTGTTTTGCATATTTTGAAATCACCTGTTTACTGTGATCTTATTGCATATATATATATATATAATATATATTATATATATATATAATATATATATATATATATATATATATGATGAAAAATTAAATTTGGGATCAATTCTTACTTAACCTCAATTTAGAATTTCTAGTTTGTATCTAATGAGGATAATTTCACCTGTGTGAGTGTTCAATGAAACTCACCTGCATGCTGTTAGAAACTGCTTTATCTAAATGTCTATTTTTACCTTAGATTTAACGTCTTTCGCCTGCAATTATCCTGTATAACAGAATTTAAGAATATATCAACATATCGTTGATCATTAAACTAATTCTCAGTGTATTTACTCTGAGAAATATGCACACATCTCGATGTATGTTTATCTGTATACCTTTGTATATATATACTGAGTCAAGCCTCTTCGCTATCGATGCCTCTCCTGTTGATAACTACGTCTCAACTTTACGTAACTACGATTCAGCTGTATATAGGCAATAGTGTGGCTCACCTGGTCCCACTGAAGAGAGGTGGTGGTAGTGATGTTTGCTGATGCTGGAGGTTCTTCTCCGTAGCCAGCAGCTCTGATGCACATGAAGGTGGTGGAGATGGCGATGTTGAAGGGCAGTGTGAAGGCCGGGATGTTGTGTCCACCCAGGATTTTGGCCAGGGCGCCCATCACACACACGCTGCGGAAAGAGACACCCAAGAACCCAAATTGGAATATCTGCGCTAATGATATTTACGCTGCCAGGGGAGGATATCTACGCAACCAGGAAGTATATTTATACTACCAGGGGAAGACATCTATGCAACCAGGGGGGATATCTACGCAACCAGGATGAATATCTACGCTACCAGGGGAAGATATCTATGCAACTAGGAGGGATATCTTCGCTACCAGGGGAAGATATCTATGCAACTAGGAGGGATATCTAGGCTACCATGGGAAGACATCTATGAAACCAGGGGGGATATCTACGCAACGAGGAGGGATATCTACGCTACCAGGGGAGGATATCTACGCTACCTGGGGGGCATATCTACGCTACCTGGGGAAGATATCTACGCAACCAGGAGGGATATCTACGCTACCAGGGAAAGATATCTATGCAACTAGGAGGGATATCTACGCTACCTGGGGGAAGGCATCTACGCAACCAGGAGAGATATCTACGCTACCAAGGGGGGATATCTACGCTCCCAGGAGGGATATCTACACTACATGGGGAAGATGACTCACGAAATCGTAATGACACGATTGCAAACAAACCATATCACGGGCGGGATTTGAAAATACGGTCAGTCTCAAAACTCCAGACCGTCGCGTTAGCCACTGGACCAGCTAGCCACGATTGTTTGCAATCGTGTCATTACGATTTCGTCAGTCATGTTGACGGCAGTGAGGGAACTTGAGCTAGAGTTCGTCACGGCCATGCTAGCTGAAGATTCGTCTGTAAAAACTTGCATTTGTGGTCACAGTGGTGCCTGTGCTAACCTTCCTATGGTGTAGAAATATACCTAGTTGGACGAATCTTATTGTGGCTAGCTGGTCCAGTGGCTAACGCGACGGTCTGGAGTTTTGAGACTCTCTGACCGCGGGTTCAAATCCCACACGTGGTATGGGGAAGATATCGACGCTACCAAGGGAAGATATCTACGCTACCAGGAGGGATATCTACACTACATGGGGAAGATATCTACGCTAACAGGGGAAGATATCTACACTACCAGGGAAAGATATCCACACTACCAGGGGAAGATATCTACGCTACCAGGGGAAGATATCCACGCTACCAGTGGATGTATACATACATATTCTGAGAAACACAGAGAGCAGTGGATAGGAGATGGTGGTACTGGTGGTGATGGTGGAGTGGGTGATGATGGTGGTACTGGTGGTAATGGTGGAGTGGGTGATAATAGTGGTACTGGAGACCTGGAGTTTACCTGGAGAGAGTTCCGGGGGTCAACGCCCCCGCGGCCCGGTCTGTGACCAGGCCTCCTGGTAGATCAGAGCCTGATCAACCAGGCTGTTGCTGCTGGCTGCACGCAAACCAACGTACGAGCCACAGCCCGGCTGGTCAGGAACCGACTTTAGGTGCTTGTCCAGTGCCAGTTTGAAGACTGCCAGGGGGTAATCCCCCTTATGTATGCTGGGAGGCAGTTGAACAGTCTCGGGCCCCTGACACTTATTGTATGGTCTCTTAACGTGCTAGTGACACCCCTGCTTTTCATTGGGGGGATGTTGCATCGTCTGCCAAGTCTTTTGCTTTCGTAGTGAGTGATTTTCGTGTGCAAGTTCGGTACTAGTCCCTCTAGGATTTTCCAGGTGTTATAAACCCTGTATCTCTCCCGCCTGCGTTCCAGGGAATACAGTTTAGGAACCTCAAGCGCTCCCAGTAAATTGAGGTGTTTATCTCCGTTTGCGCGCCGTGAAGGTTCTCCCGTAACATTTTCTAGGTCAGCAATTTCACCTACCTTGAAAGGTGCTGTTAGCGTGCAGCAAATATTCCAGCCTAGATAGAACAAGTGACCTAAGAGTGTCATCATGGGGTTGGCCTCCCTAGTTTTGAAGGTTCTCATTATCCATCCTGCATTTTTCTAGCAGATGCGATTGATACAATGTTATGGTCCTTGAAGGGGAGATCCTCCGACATGATCACTCCAAAGGGCTTTGACGTGGTGTTTCACTCTATTTTGTGGCCAGAATTTGTTTTGTACTCTGATGAAGATTTAATTTCCTCGTGTTTACCATACTGAAATAATTAAAATTTCTCATCGTTGAACTTCATATTGTTTTCTGCAGCCCACTGAAAGATTCGGTTGATGTCCGCCCGGAGCCTTGCAGTGTCTGCATGGAAGACACTGTCATGCAGATTCGGTGTCATCTGCAAAGGAAGACACGGTGCTGTGGCTGACATCCTTGTCTATGTCGGATATGAGGATGAGGAACAAAATGGGAGCGAGTACTGTGCCTTGTGGAACAGAGCTTTTTTACCGTAGCTGCCTCGGACTTTACTCTGTTGACGACTACTCTCTGCGTTCTGTTAGTGAGGAAATTATAGATCCATCGACCGACTTTTCCTGTTATTCCTTCAGCACGCATTTTGTGCGCTATTACGCCATGGTCACACTTGTCGAAGGCTTTGCAAAGTCTGTATATATTACATCCGCATTCTTTTTTATCTTTAAGTGCATTTAGGACCTTGTCGTAGTGATCCAATAGTTGAGACAGACAGGAGCGACCTGTTCTAAAACCCGTGTTGCCCTGGTTGTGTAACTGATGGGTTTCTAGATGGGTGGTGATCTTGCTTCTTAGGGGCCCTTTCAAAGATTTTTTATGATATGGGATGTTAGTGCTATCGGTCTGTAGTTCTTGCTGTTGCTTTACTGCCCCTTTTCGGGATGGGGCTTATGTCTGTTGTTTTTTATTAACTGTGGGGAGACCCCCGTGTCCTTGCTCCCTCTCCATAGGATGGAAAAGGCTCGTGATAGGGGCTTCTTGCAGTTCTTGAAAGAACACAGAGTTCCATGAGTCTGGCCCTGGGGCAGAGTGCATGGGCATGTCATTTATCGCCTGTCGAATCATTTGGCGTTAGGATAACATCGGATAGGCTTGGTTAACCAAATTCTGTGGCTCTCTCATAAAAAATTCATTTTGGATCTTCGACTCTCAGTCTGGTTAGCGGCTTGCTAAAAACTGAGTCATATTGGGACTTGAGTGCTCACTCATTTCCTTGCTGTCATCTGTGTAGGACCCATTTTGGGTTTAAGTGGGCCCAATACTGGACGTTGTTCTCGACTTTGATTTGGCATAGGAGAAGAAATATTTTTGGGTTTCTTTCGATTTCATTTATGGTTTTTAGTTCTTCCCGCGATTCCTGACTCCTATAAATTCCTTTAGCTTAAGTTCGATGCTTGCTTTTTCTCTGACCAGTGTCTCCCTACGCATTTCAGATATATTGACATTTTTTAGCCGCTTCTGTTATTCTTTTCCGTCCCCTGTAAAGGGAGCGCCTGTCTCTTTCTATTTTACATCTACTCCTCCTTTTTTTAGAGGAATAAGCCTTGTGCATACATCGAGTGCCACCAAGTTAATCTGTTCTGGAAATAAGTTGGGGTCTGTGTTGCTTAGTATATCTTCCCAGCTTATATGGGTTTTAGGACTTGGTTTACTTGGTCCCACTTTATATTTTTGTTACTGAAGTTGAATTTGGTGAATGCTCCCTCGTGACTAGTTCCCTTATGTCGGTCTGGGGCTCCACGCTACAAAGTCTGAACCTCAATTATGTTGTGATCTGAGTATATTGTTTTTGATATGTGACATTTCTTATCAGATCATCATTGTTAGTGAAGATGGGTCTAGTGTATTCTCCGTTAGTAGGCTCTATTATTTGCTGGTTTAAATTGAATATTGTGGGAGAGATTTAAAGCTCGTGTGAGTGTGAGTTTTCATCAGAGCTGCCTCATGGTGTTATTTCTGCAACAATATTATTTGCTATATTCCTCCATTTTAGATGCCTTAACTTGAAATCCCCCAAGAGCAAGATGTTGGGTGCAGGAGCTGGAAGATTTTCCAGACAGTGGTCAATATTTAACAGCTGTTCCTGGAATTACTGGGATGTTGCATCCGGAGGCTTGTAGACTACCACAATGAATAGGTTTTGGTTCTCGACCTTTACTGCTAAAACTTCCACTACATCATTTGAGGCATTTAGCAGTTCTGTGCAAACAAGTGACTCTGCAATGTACTGGTGGTAATGGTGGAGAGGGTGATGATGGTGGTACTGGTGGTAATGGTGGAGTGGGTAATGATGGTGGTACTGGTGGTAGTGGTGGAGTGGGTGATGATGGTGGTACTGGTGGTAATGGAGGAGAGGGTGATGATGGTGATACTGGTGGTAATGGTGGAGTGGGTGATGATGGTGGTACTGGTGGCAATGGTGGAGAGGGTGATGATGGTGATACTGGTGGTAATGGTGGAGTAGGAGATAATAGTGGTACTGGTGGTAATGATGGAGTGGGTGATGATGGTGGTACTTGTGGTAATGGAGGAGAGGGTGATGATGGTGGTACTGGTGGTAATGGTGGAGTGGGAGTTTATGGTGGTACTGGTGATAATGGTGGAGTGGGAGATGATGGTGGTACTGGGGGTAATGGTGGAGTGGGTGATGATAGTGGTACTGGTGGTAATGGTGGAGTGAGTGATGTTTGTGGTACTGGTGGTAATGGTGGAGTGGGTGATGATGGTGGTACTGGTGGTAATAGTGGAGAGGGTGATGATGGAGGTACTGGTGGTAATGGTGGAGTGGGTGATGATGGTGGTATGGTGTAATGGTGGACTGGGTAATGTGGTGGTACTGTTGGTTAAGGTGGAGAGGGTGATGATGGTGGCTCTGGTGGTAATGGTGGAGAGTGTGATGATGGTGGTTCTGGTGGTAATGGTGGAGTGGGAGATGATGGTGGTACTGGTGGTAATGGTGGAGTGGGAGATGATGGTGGTAATGGTGGAGTGGGAGATGATGGTGGTACTGGTGGTAATCGTGGAGAGGGTGTGATGGTGGTACTGGTGGTAATGGTGGAGTGGGGTGATGATGATGTACTGGTGGTAATGGTGGAGTGGATGATGATGGTGGTACTGGTGGTAATGGTGGAGTGGGAGATGAGGGTGGTACTGGTGGTAATGATGGTGGTACTGGTGGTAGTGGTGGGAGAGGGTGATGATGGTGGTACTGGTGGTAATGGTGGAGTGGGAGATGATGGTGGTACTGGTGATAATGGTGGAGAGGGTGGATGATGGTGGTACTGGTGTAATGGTGGAGAGGGTGATGCTGGTGGTACTGGTGGTAATGGTGGAGAGGGTGATGATGGTGGTACTGGTGGTAATGGTGGAGAGGGGTGATGATGGTGGTACTGGTGGGTAATGGTGGAGTGGGTGATGATGGTGGTACTGGTGGTAATGGTACTGGTGGTGATGGTGTTACTGGTGGTGATGATGGTACTGGTGGTGATGATGGTACTGGCGGTGAATGGTACTGGTGGCGATGGTGCTACTGGTGGTGGTGGTGGTACTGGTGGTGATAGTGGTACTGATGGTGATAATGGTACTGATGGTGATGGTGGTACTGGTGGTGATGATGGTACTGGTGGTGATGGTGGTAGTGGGTGATGATGTTGGTACTAATGGTGATGGTGGTAGTGAAGTGATGATGGTAGTAGTGGGTGATGATGGTGTTGTTAGTGATGGTGGTATGTGATGGTGATGGTGGTACTGGTGGTGTGGTGGTACTGGTGGTGATTGTACTGGTGGCGATGATGGCAGTGGTGGTAGTGGGTGGGTGATGGTGGTACTGATGGTGATGGTGGTTACTGGTGGTGATGGTGGTAGTGGAGTGTGATGGGTGGTAGTGGGTGATGATGGTGTAGTGAGCTGTGATGGTGGTAGTGAGTTGTGATGGTGGTAGTGACTTGTAATGGTGGTAGCGGGTGGTGATGGTACTGGTGGTGATAGTGGTACTGGTGGTGATGGTGGTAGTGGGTGATGAAGGTGGTACTAGTGGTGGTGGTGGTAGTGAGTTGTGATGGTGGTAGTGGGTGGTGATGGTGGTAGTGAGTGGTGATAGCTGTGGTGTTGTTGGTGGTAGTGAGAGAGGTACACCCACCTGAACACTGCTGCTACTATGATGTAGCCCCAGATAGCAGGTGTCAGTGGCGTGTGGAACACTAGTGGGAAGACAGCAGTGCCAACACTGCCCACCAGCACAGCGTTGAAGTTACTGTGACCAGCTGCGACCATTTCGTCACTCCAGTTGAGTATCTGCGTGAGGAGAATGAAGACTTTTACGCTCACATTTACCGCCTCAGCGTACTTTGCAATGTTGTTCATTATTTAAGAAGATGTTTGAACATCGACGAGCTTGGCGCTTTTCCTTGAGCTCAGTAATATTAATATATTTCCTCGTTTTCTGCGTCTAAGGTTGAGCACCTCAGTATCTTTCTTACGATGGCGTTTCGCCAGTCACTGGTTTCTTCAACTCAATAAAGAATTTATTTAGTGTTGAAACTAAATACAGTTGAAGAGGTAATTAGTCCCTGACCATGGATGAAGCAACACTGAAACTTAGTAAAGGGAAATGAGCTGTTTGAAGCATTTTTTAATTTGGAAAAGTTGTATGATAGCTTGGACTGGTGAGTGAAGGGACTGGTACTGGCAGACATGTGAAGTAGATAGTAAGTTGTTGGATGGTTGGTCGGTTAATGAGGTCTAAAGCCTATCGACTACACGAGGATCATTGAGGCTGCGCGTAACCTATTCATTATCAGACATGTATACTTTAATACTTAAAAGGAGATTAAAGTAAACTCTCAGCATATATACGAGAGAGAAATATACCTCTGTGTACATATCTTGTGAAAAGTTGTTAAAAACTGTCGAGTTTTTATGAGGAGACAGAGACTCAGGTCTGGGTATGTACGAAACCTAAGAAATATTTTACATTACAACTAGGCTTCAGGACGCTGATGTGTGTGTTACTGTAGTTGCTTAATGTTAATAGATGAGTTATAAAACAAGTGAATGCTAGAGTGTTGGATAGAGGTGCAGGATTAAAGGGTAAGTGATTAATTGTAACGTGATATTTGCTGTGGCTGCTGATATTACCAGTGTTTTGTGGGAAACTCAGAAGGAAACTTGTCGAGATTACTGGAGGAGTTGAGAAAGTGTCTCTGGGGAAGATAAAACTTCAGTATTTCTCTCTGTATTAGACTGAACAAAAGATTGATTCATAGGTTACTCGTCTCGTTAATCAACATACCGTTGATGTTGCACTAGGTGTCTTGCTCAACAGTAAAAAAGTTAAGAAAAGAAGGGAAGTGTCAAGATTAAGATGAGCTAGGGAATGAAAGGATGGGCGTGAAAAAAAAATCATGATAATGAGGTTTAAGGACGGCAGATGTTGTCTTAAAAGCTTCGAAGACACAGGAATTAAATATCAGAGAGAATATAGTTTACCATGTAGTGGGAAGGTGTTTTTGAGTAGAGTACCTGCCTTGTGTCTGCCAGTAAGTAAGTAATTATGTAATTTTAATCAGTATACAACAATTACAGTTAAAAGATTTAGACAACATTAGCACATATGTTAAGAACCTGGGATAACCCAAAAAGTCAGACAGAGTGAACTTATTTCCATTGGGGTCCTTTAGCCTTATTATTATAATATAAAGTTAAAAATATTAATCTTATATATTCTATAATGAAAGATCACATCTTATTATCATAACTAAAAAGACTATCTACTACAACGAGGGTCAATTAAGACTACTACAATGACGAGGGTCATTACTTACTATGAATATGGTAAAATTTTAACACGTATGTTTTAGCTAAAAAATAGAAAATCATTCCCCTCCCTTTCTGTAGCTTCATCATGCATACACTCTTTTGCACTTCTTCTTGAACGGGCTCATGCTATGACTGGCCTTTGGGACGATGTGCGGGCAGTCTGTTCCTTTCCTTTATGCCTGAAATAAAAGGTTTTGAAGCCGTCCACTGACTGTGAGTACTACAGAATTGTGCTCTCACAGTCGCGGGGCGCCCTATGATGATTATTGCTTTGGTTCCCCAAAACTTTGACAAAATTGACAGCAAGATATTCCTGACACTGTTTGTGAGCATTTTATAAAACTGTTTAGCTTCAGTTGTTTTTACCTCTTCTCAACATTCAGCATATCCAACTGCTTAAATACATCCTGACCTACATGTTCTCCTTGTCCAGCCCCAGGATGAAATCTTAGAACGATTTTGTTCTGGTTATTAGCAGTCTATCTTTTCAGTTTTTAGTCAAGGCAAGTACCAAGAAGAGAAAGCGTAATCCATAAGGCATTGTTTAAAGAGTGCTAGGACATAGGTCCTGCGAGCCTCAGTATGTAGAACACTGGTGCTTGTCTATACAGGCACTTCAGTCTGGCAGTGCGCCATTCATTACTAACTGTTCCCTATCAATTCTCCTGACATCATTTGTCAAAGGGGGATTCCCAACTATCTTACTGATTAAACCAAAGTGATGCAAGTTTCACCGCAAGTAAGGGCGAGAAGGAACATTAAAATTATTTACTTTTCTCATTTATGTTTTCTGCCAAAGAGAATGCTTCAGTTGTCCCTAGGTGTAATGATAGTTAGTTGTCTCCCTACCCATTTGCTGCAGACTTCCGTTCCATTTGAAAAACATTACATATCTTGTGGTTCTTTTACCTGACACTAACAGAGCATTGTCATCTGATACAGTAGGAGTTATGCACTTGACACTGATAGGCATATCATTGACATACATAAGAAAAAAAAGGGAACCCAGAATACTACCTTGGGGAACTCCACATGTTATCCGGCAGGGGTTCTATTCATTTTGTTGATTTTGACTATTTGTCTCCTGTTGCTAAGGTATAGGACATAAACCAGTCACAGAACCTGTACCGATAGCTTGAAGTTTATTACATAATATATTGTGTGTTGACATATCGAAGGCCTTTTGCAAGTCTAGGTTACCATACCTATAGGTTCCCCATTGACATTTCATTCTCAGGTAATCCATCTGATTAATAAGGGAGTGTCGGTGAGTAGAACTTCTAAAGCCCGATTGATATCTATGAGAATGTTGTTGTCATTAAGGTCACTTAACCTACTTGAGAATACACCGGCCCTCTCTAGAATTTTTAGATATTATAACAGATATACTTAACAGGCCCTATAGTTGCTGTACATCAGACCTTACTATTTTTCTTGAAGATAGGAGTAACTCCTGGCCCCTGAACCCCTCCGGTACTTATTAGTGGGGGATTGATAGATTTATTATTTGAGCAATAGGGAGTGACATTCCAGAATCACCATCTGTATATGACTTAGACTGGGATGTTTAATCAGGGCCTGGATCTCTCAGGTTGGGTTTAACTGCTAATTTCTTTTTGAATAAAGTCAAGATACACTACTAGTTTGACAACTGTTTTGGGTTTACCCCATTATTGTAATATGTTTGAACTTCAGAGTCTGAGATAAAGTATTTGATGCAGGCTGTATTTTACTTTACTAGTGTGATGCAACAGATGTGTAGTATGAATTAAAGCAATTTGGCCACCTTAGATGTTCGTGGGCATACCTCATTTTCGAAAAGTGATTACGTATTTTAACCTATCGTACTGCTTATGGCAACCCCAACTGTTTTAGTATGTTGCCAGAGCTTTCTTTCTGGGTTATGCTTATACCTCAATTTGTTGAGCATAGGCTTTGCAATTGCTCTTTTTTAAGTCTGCTGTACTCTGTTTCCTCACCCTTTGGAATCATTTAGTGCAGCAATATCCTGTCTGTTTGCTTTAAATCTTTTAGCACTGGTCCTGACATTTCATATTATCTAATGTCCTGCAGTATTCATCCAGGTTTCAGTTCTTCGGGTTAATCCTAACCTCTGTTAACATGTTCAATATTAACACGGAAGTGTTATTGAACATTGTTTTTTGAATTTTTCCCATCATCGGTTTACGTCCGTGCAACTTGTTACTCTGTCCATGCACAATTTGTGTAGCCCTTAAAAACCAGTTATTACTTTACTGTAGTTATCCATAGTTGACCTCAATTTTATTGTCCTGTGTAGGCCATCCTAACCCTATGATTTTCCTGTGCAGTAAAAGATTAAGATTATCACTAATACCTTGTTGTAATTGACGCCTGACTTACTAATGTCTCAGAGCGGTTAAAAAGTAATTTGTCAATTATGTGCTTAGACTGCTGTGTGATCCGGTTGGAGTATTAATTTAGTTGGAGTGTAACTATTTAATCCTAGAATTTGCTTATACATACCTTTGCAAGCCCGTTATTTTTGCTGCGAAAACAGATATTGAAGTCGCCCATTATTATTGTCTACGCATTGGTTTTCAACTTCCCGGACAAGACACCGGAAAAGTCTTCTAAGAACTGGGTCGACTGGTAGGAGGCGGTTACTAGATCCTACAAATAGGGGTTTGGTCTTAGGAACAGCACTTCCAACCAAGAATCTCCAGATTTAATGCATTTAAATCAGGTCTTGGGTTGTTAAGCTAAGTCAGTTCTAATGTATTCACCATACTCCACCACCCTTTCTGGTACCCTATCTAAGCGTTTTATGTTGTAACCATCTATTGTGACCTCGTCGTCAGTCAGCCGTATCATCCAACCGAATAGATCAGAGATTTTTATAACTTTCAGTCCCTAATAGAATTTACGCTCGAAACCAAATCTCTGCCAATATTAGGAAGAATTGATCTATACATAAGAGACATGAAAAAAAAAAAGTGAAGGCCTGTTTCATAAAACAATCATAATCAACATATATATGGCAATGTTCATTTGTATTAAAATTAGGTAAATCAACGTCCAATCACTGCTAAGGGTAACTGTGCCAAAGTTCAATTTTAAGCACCCAAAATGAATTCTGGCACCTTGTTGCTATAAATGTACATACATCCATCATGCACCCTCCCCTTACACAAATTACCTAAGGTTTAAGGTGCCTTTCTGTTTTTCATGCTACTTTAGTACAGTGTATCACCAGTTAGGTAGTGTTTTAGATAATATGGGCTGTATCGGTCTCCATTGACCTATTATGCATTTACATTATGGAGTTAAGTTATAATTCCTAGCTACTAGACCAGTCATTATCGCCGTCATTATCTGTCTGTTTTCCTCTGCACATAGTATGAGCCTGGATTAATTTGGCTATCGCGAGAACGGCATAAGCGCTCTTACAATAAGAGGCTATGTGCCACTGTTTTTGTTTGGGTAATCGGTGGTTG